TCCATAAAAACAAATTTTAAAAGCCAATAGAGATCCTAGATTCCAAAATTATGAATATACTTTAGCGTAAACCATCCAACTAAATATATAATTTGATTATGAGTGCTCAAACAAAGAAATGACAAATTTCCTAAAGAAAATGATTAAATTTCACATAGATCAATATATCTAGCAATAATAAGTTTAACAGCAAAAAAAAATGTATTGGCTTTCATTTACATGACATGAACATGAAGATTTTTATGAACATGATGATTTTTCACCTTATTGGTATTCACATGCATAGGTTGTCAGGTTCATCTCATATTTATTCATCACTGTCAATTAATACAACATTTCTAATGTATGTGATTACAATATAATACATGGTTTCTGCAAGTAGTGCACTTGATATCAATTTCAACTTTGAAACTATAGGTTAAATAAGATTAATATTGTGGATAAGGGAAAGACAACACATGATTGAGCCACACTTGCAAGGCTTACTTAAGTGACAATAATTTTAATAAGTGAAACTTCAATTGAAGCGAAGAGTTAGAGTAAGAAAAGAAATATTTACAAAAAGAATTTTAATATTTATAGATCGAAAATCAAATAATAACATGGGTGTCAATTTGATAATCACCAATTAATATTATCAATCAAATGATAGTTAACTATTAGAGATATTAACATTTTGAATTCATCATGTAAGTAAATGTGAACATAGATGAAGAGAAAAGTATAAGATTGCTATTCGAGAATATGATAATAATAATAAAAAAACTACAATTAAATAGACTATGATACATGTATTAGAGTGTTAATGATTAGTATAGACCAAATTTCTTGATTTTGTATTGGGTCTTTAAGAGCATCCAATTAAGAATATAACAGATGGAATTGTCCAACAATCCAACAGCAATACCGCATGATACTTGTTAAAGATGTATGTTTAGGGTAAGCCTTCACCACTACATGCAGAAATAATTGTTAAGCATTTTTTGGAATAGAAAAGTTGTTCAAAGTAAAAGTGCAAAGAAAATAATTTATGCAACCTGATGAAAATATAAGGTTGTAAATAACTTTAAAATACAAAAATCACCACATGATACCGAAAATTAGAACTAACACGTATATAATTTTTAAAAAACAATGCAAATCCGCCCAACCTAAAAATTTAATATTAATAACAAATCATTATGATACAATATATGATTTTTGAAAAGTAGTAAACTTGATATCAATTTCAACTTTGAAAATATAGATTAAATGAGGTTAATAATGAGTAAAAGTCATCAAAATGAAGGGGTTGGAGGTTCGTTCGAATCGCCGTTTTGAAGGCCTGGTATGATGGGGGTAGCCCATTGAGTGTGTATAGAATGATAACTTTAGGGTCTAATATATATCTGACGACATTGATGGTGTCTACTTTGAGCTTAGTGTCTGACAAATACCGCTACATTGTTTTGTTGTTCACAGAAATGTGATGCAGTTCATTCTTCAGTCGAATGATACGAGAGCATTTTTTAGTCTGAAGTATCTTATTTATCATTTGTCAAATTTTAACACATGAGTCAAGATTCAGGACATACGACAACAAGGAAGTAGAGACAGTGGAGAGCAGTTTGTAGTCTGAAGTATCTTATTTATTGTTTGTCAAATTTTAACACATGAGTCAAGATTCAGGACATACGACAACAAGGAAGTAGAGACAGTGGAGAGCAGTTTGTAGTCTGAAGTATCTTATTTATTGTTTGTCAAATTTTAACACATGAGTCAAGATTCAGGACATACGACAACAAGGAAGTAGAGACAGTGGAGAACAAGGCAATTGCAAGATTATGATAGATCAACATCTAGTTAGAGTACTGTGGATTGATATCAATTTTGTTGTGGTTGTTACTTGGCGAGGAGGTCGGCAAACAATTCCATCAAGAATTCAAGATATCATTTGAATCCATTAGCTCGAAACACCTTTAGCACTTGCGAGCACCAGGTGAGGTGATTCTCAGCTGTGAGCTGAGCCGTGATAATATTCTTAAGGGTAAACTTTAATAACTTAAGCTGAGGGGGGGATCGAAGCTCCGTTAAGAAGAGGCCGAGTTGCATCAGAACATCCACTTACAGAGCTATCTAAGGTCATGCTGATTACCTTCAGAAAATGTATAAAGGAATAGTGGAAGCTGTAAGGCTTAAACCAGCTCTAATTACCATGAAAACCTCTCTCTTGTATAAAAGTTTTGTATAGAAGTAAATATAGCAAAGAAGTGGATAAAGGTAAAAGGTGAAGGTAAAGTTACTTTGTAGGTTGCATACCTCTCTATCTCTGTAAATTACACATGAGCTGTATATACATGTAAAAGATAATGAGTTAGTTGATAATGTAAGATGAAGATGTAATAAGCCACAGGGAACATGCTCTGATCACGTACAATGAATAGCATTGCTATGCGGACCACAGGGGATGTGTGTTGAGTGTGTCTCGTTTGTGTTTGCTAGCTAATATTCTTTAGCATATCGTGATTGAAGAAAATTCATGGAAGCATGGTTGTATTGTTTTTCATTAAGATGCAACAATACCTATTGGTTTGAGAAGGAATTATATAATCTAATAATTTGATTTGTTACTTAAGATAAAAAAAAAGTTTAATAAATAAGTTAAAAAAACATATTTAAAATAAAAATAATAGTTACCCTAAATAGGCCCTAAATTATTTTACATAAAATACTTTCTATTTTTTATATTTTACAATTTAATACGAAATAAAAATATGTTTGATATTCAATAAATTTTATTGAATATTATATTTAATATTGATGGCGGACAACAATAGGGAGTGATGGTAATTATCACTGCGGGACCATAGGAGATAATTTCATTTAAAAAATATATAAAAAATCCTAATAAATACCAAAAGTTTGTTCTAAATATTTAA